ATTTATGATATATATGTACATGCATGTGTGTGTGTATATATATATATATATATATATATATATATAAATGTGACTGACGAGTTTTAAATTGTAATGTTTTAGTGAAAAATACATGTATTTGGGAAGCACTGGGTATATGACTGGGTAAATGAGACTTGGATGATACTGTGTTGAGTCGAGGGTCGAGTTGTATAAGTGTTTGTGAGGGGATTTTTGATATAGTTTTGCTTGTTAAATGTGGCCCCCAATGATTTTAATTCATGAAGAAGGTTTGCCTTTTTTGGATTCTTTGTTCACTGTGCAGGCATGAAAGAAAAACAACATTTTTTCACGAATTCAAGGTAACACTGAGTGAGAAATTGATACACAAATTATCATTTAGTGGGTGAAGTGCTCCTTTAAATAGTCTTGGTTTGACAAACAAAGCCTTTTGGTCTTCAGAAGCAGCAGTTAGTAAGAAACCAGAGACTATAGCTTTTCACTTCCAAGCACAGCTGACATGAATGACAGTCTGAGCACCTTTATATAGAACATCAATCTGCCCATCTGGACAGCTGACCATCAATTACAGGAGACAAAGTGAGTGCCTGGCCCACAACATAGGCAGGGCATTTGAGGAAGTGGAACTGCACAGTATAGGATATATGTGGAGAGCAAAGATTCAGGTGTTACTTTAACTGACAAGGTCACTAGTTGAGGCCATAACATGTTGTGCTCTGCAATTTAGAGAAAGATGCAAAGAAAACTCAGTGTAGGTGGGATCTTAAATATCTGATGCATTATGTTTGATCAAACTGTAACTGCAGGGTGCTCTGGCTTTGATTATACTCCTAATCAAAAAGCCGTAGCCTTTTGCATCATTTAGTGCCTCACAAACAGTATATTCACACAATAAATTAGGACTTCTGGGATGATCTGGTGTTTTATTTTTCCTCACATAACAAATGAGAAGATTTTACATTGTGTTTTGTTAGCACTGTATGCCCTCAGTCAAAAACAGTTGTCTCCTGCACGCAGCCCCGAAGTGCATCCCTGTCATGATCAAAACATTTATCCTAAAGCAATGTTCTGTCTTGTCCCCCCCAAAGGGCCCCGCTCGCCTTGCAACAGCAGAGTGAATTTTAGAGCTTCGGCATACACAAATAAAACTTTGATAAAACCCCACCGCATGATACTTGCACTTTATCTGCTGCTCAGCTGTCTTGGAAAAACTACTCCGCCTCCATAATTCATCTAACACAAAGACCACTCAAGTTCAATCAAGGCCACGCTCCCATCTCTCCCACAGGGAAGGTGGTTGGCTAATTTGCTCTGTCTTCACCAGTGCTACTCTATGGAGCAGCGGGTGGTTAAATTTTTCACAGCGCTCTCTCTTCTTGTTGCCGGGCTTGTCTGGCAGACATGCACCGCAGGTCTGACTCCTCTGTCTTTGTACCTCATGCCTTGTTGCATTTTACATGAAACCTCGCTGGAACAAATGCCCTCTGACTAGTTAGCCAGTGAGCAGCTCTGCACCATTCCTGTGAAATCAGCCCGGTAAAAAGGCTGAGTCTGATTTACATAGCGGACTCATGAAAGGCTTCGGCAGCGAAGAGAGGAGCCCATTGTCTACACAGGGTTTGCAGGGACTTTGGAGGCAGATGCAAAGACTGATAATGATGTGGTGGGATGATGGGAAAGATGAGAAGCGGCGGTGAGGAGGAGGGGGAGGAGGAGGAGCACGGTGATAGGTCTCTCATGCTCTCGTGCTTTTCATTTTAATGTTGGTTGTAGTGAATTTTGTATATCATCTAGAGATTTTATCGTCACTATTTGCAGAGATCATGTTTACAATGAGAAAGTTCAAACATCAAGAATACTCACAGTTGTTGGAAAAGAAAGAGTAGATACAATTCCTCGCACTAAGACTGTCAAAGTGAATCAATCATTAACACTATAGGTGTTGACTGGAAAACACTATTAAATGAATAACAGTATGTCTTTAGGCAACTGGTCAACAGCATTGACAGAATATACAAAGTACATCATATATTTTCAATATCAATACACTTTAAAGGCCCAGTGTGTAGGATTTGGGGGGATATATAAGCAGAAATTGAATATAATATAATATAATATAATGTAATGAGTATGTTTTCTTTAGTGTATAATAACCTGAAAATACAAATTGCTGTGTGTTCTCCTCACCTTAGAATGAGCCGTTTATATCCATGGGGAACAGGTCTTTGTTTACAGAGATCGCCATGTT